AATTAATAGTTTTCAAAATTGCATCTTTCTTTTAATTCCAAAAGCTTAAAACGACTTTGGTCTTTTTAATACCATCCTCGCTTAATTTGCTTCCACCTCAACACATTGCACACATGTTTGGACTTGATGCACTCTAAATTTAATTTCTTTCTCTTTTTCCATCTTTTGATTTTGTTACCTTGCTCTCTCACTTCGTTTCTCTAACCATCTACTTCTCTCAGGACTTTGTACTTTTCACTCTTTTCTCTCACCCATTTTGTTCTCGTCTCTGTCTGTCTGTGATTTGTGAAAGTGAGGTGTGCGCGCGTTGCCAGGCGCCGCTGACGATGTCTCTACAGCCACGCTAGTTGTCGTCGTCGTCGGCGACCGGTGCTACACGTCTGTTCCACTGCTCTTTCTGCTTCTGCTGCTAAATGCCCTGTGGCAGTATCTGTCTGTTTGTCTGTCTGCTGCTGCCACTTCAACCACCACGACCACTGTTTCGGAAGATTGAGTATGAAAGTAAAAAATTGAAACTCCATGCTGTGTTCGAAGCACGACCGGTGTGTACAGCAGCAGTGGCAGTGGTGGTGCTTGTACGACAGAACAGCAGCACTCGACACCAATCGGTGCAGTGCATGTGTCACCGAGAGATTACACTGAGGTAGACAGTGCTGTCAGCTGGTCCATTGTTCGACATTCGTATCAGCAGCAGCAGAACTTTTTCACCCTTCTTCATCTCACTCTGCTGTGATTTTGTTTTTCTTTGTCTGGTTGGCTGCNGATCGGTGCAGTGCATGTGTCACCGAGAGATTACACTGAGATAGACAGTGCTGTCAGCTGGTCCATAGTTCGACATTCGCATCAGCAGCAGCAGAACTTCTTCACCCCTCTTCATCTCACTCTGCTGTGATTTTGTTTTTCTTTGTCTGGTTGACTGCTGCTGCTGCTTCACGATCCATTACCACGCTTTTGCCGGTCACTGACTGCACTTGTGCAGTTGCTTACTGCTGTGATAGAGTTCTCTGCCCCACCGTTCTACTCTTCTTCGTCTTTTTCTTTTTCTTCTTCATTTGTTTTATGATATCATCCGACTCTTGTAGACTCTACACTGATTCACTTTGACATGAGTGTGCTTAACTGACAACAAACTGCTGATTTGTTGCTGCTGCTGCTGGTTACCAGCCAGGCAAACACCGGTTTTGGTTTACACAGACAAACTGNTTACACTGATTCACTTTGACATGAGTGTGCTTAACTGACAACAAACTGCAGATTTGTTGCTGGTGCTGGTTACCAGCCAGGCAAACACCGGTTTTGGTTTACACAGACAAACTGAGCTGACCCATCAACAAGAGATTACTGATTGACTGACGGCTTCCTCATTCGTCTGACTCATTCGTCAGTGTTTGAAATTGTTTGGCTTACATTGCCCCTACTGCTATTTAATTGGCTCTTTTGTTGTTGTTTTGTTACATGTGCGGTGATGTGTTGATTTATTAAAATGTGATTGCCAGTAATTACTGCAAACAACTTGACAAGAAGATGTACTCATCATCTCGACCAAACTCATCGGCTGGTGGCGGAGGTGTTGGCCGACCAACTTCCTCAAACCCCAACTCCAACAGCAGAAAAAACCACTCCCACTTTCGGTCATCCTCTCAGCACTCGACAAACAGTCCCTCTCTGTCCCCCTCACCTCAACTTCATGATGAAGTGGGCCTTACCTCCTCCTCCATCTCTCCGACGCACTCTGATTTCACCCTGACTCAGCCGTACTACCCCTACGTCTACTACTACTACAACTCACCCTTTCACGGCGTCCTCTCCTCCAGAGCTGGAAATCACCGGCCACATGAAGATCAGGTACACCAGTCACAGCCACAGCACCACCGGTACGGCTCTCCGGGAAAGAAAATGCTCAATGGAAATGTGCCCACCTTTCGGCCGGTCACCTTCAGTCAGTTCACAGCAGCAAGGGGAGATCACCCGCAGCAGCAGAAGCTGCTGAATGACAGGTGAGACACTTTTGAAGGGTTTTACCCCTGTTTCTGTTTCTTTGATAAAAGTAGTTAAATGCTAGCGAATGTTAGCTTTATCAGACGTGCCCTTCTTAGGATACGCACAGAGAGAAGACATCAGCTATTTCAATGTCTGCCTGCTAAGGACAGTTGCAGTATCTGACGTGCTCATCTTTCAATCAAAACACACACACACACACAAAATTAGTTTCTGTCTCCTATGTACATATTCAATTGATCGGTGATTGCACAGATTGTGTGTCTGTGTGTATGCTAATGCCGGATGGATTACACTGCTGTTGCTGCTGTCGAAACTGGATACGGCACAATCACAGACACAAACCATTTATTTCCTTTCTTTTCACAAAAAAAGTAAAACTGGAATGAATGTTCTTGAGTGAAGACGAAAGTGAAAAGCGAAAAAGGCTAAAGAGTTTATTTTTGGATGTCTCTCTTTTTTCTCTCTATTATCATTTTTAAAGATGCCCACAGCGTCAAGGATAGTACAAAGTGGGAAGGGGGAAAAGAGGAAGAGCATTGTTGCATTTTAATGGTGTGTTATCACTGCAAAATAATTTTAAACATATAAAGATCTGAATTTCACGCATACCACTTTTGACACTGACAGATCAAAGCTGTTTATTAAAATTATGCACGTTCCTAAAAGAGAGCTGTTTTTTGTTTAATAGTTTGATTGGCATTTAAAAGTTTCTTCATTGCACAAACGCCTTTTTCTTGACTATTCGACCGGCATCAGACGGTTTTCACTGTGAGCACATTCACCTCAGCTACCTCAATCGATCGTTTACCTAGCCGAGGTGCAATGTCTAATTAGTAAAGAGAGAGAGGGAGACTGAAAGAGATAGACAATCGATCAACCTGAAGAGAGGTATTAAGTGTACTTGCCATCATCACCGGCTGTCTGCACTGACCAAACATGGACTTCCCGTTACGGGTTAAAGGGAAGTGAACAACAATTTACATAATTGGGAGTGTTGCATCATTTATAATTAGCAGAACGTTAACCAGTTAGCTAGTGCTGTAGCCGAGCACAAGTTAGCACCATTCGAGTGCAATTCTCGTTGCTGATCGTCTGCACCACAGCTGTACTTTCGCACATTTGTGTGCCTTGTCTGCAGTACAACACACTTCAACTACCCTTTCTTGAAAATTATTACCTACTCTCTCCTTCTCCTTCTTCTTCTCCTCTCTTAATGACGCAACGCCGTCGTCAAGAGCACTTGTGCACTTATCACTACACTGAAGACAATTCTTTTCCTTTCCGGGTAATATTAAGGAACTTCCACACTTAATGAATGAATGATTGGAAGGCAATGCTCAGTGATTTGGTGCCACCCCTTTGGTGCTTGTTTGCTCTAGCAACAGCATCAGCAGCACTTATCATCTTGCGCATCTTTCATTTGACTACTCTTCCACTGATGAGTGGTTGTTGTGCCTGATGAGTTGCAGTGCATTGAATGGCTGCAGTGCATTGTGCAACCGATGCCCTCCACCGAGCACACACCACCACATCTACGCCAATTAATTGTCTGTTCGACCGGTTGTGATGATGATGATGATGGTGCTGTTGCTGCAACTGCAGCTGTTGGACTTGCCAGTGCTTGCCAGCACTTGCAAATTGCCGTTAACTGCGCTCTTTGGCTCTTTCTTCCCCCGTCTGCACAGTGGCTGCTCTCACTCTCTCGAGCTCGAACAGTCCATTCAATCCATCTATCAGATTGGAAGTTAGCTGAAACAGCAGAGTTTGTCTGTCTGTCTGATTCGGTGTGACTTTGACAATGAGCCTACTGGCTCGGATGATTATCATTGACTGCTGCTGCTGTTGCTGCTACTGTACGACACACTTTGGAGGACTTTTACTGCCACTGTGCTTTCCTCCACTCCACCACCACTCTACATTAGTATAACTGACCGTGAAATGAGCTAGCACAACCGCACTGACTGTGCCTGCACATCTCTCTCAATGCTTCCCCTTTCCCTCCTCTTCCCTGACCTTCTCCAGTGATATTTTGCCACTACCATCAGCTGCAACCACCACCCCAAAAACAATGACGCCCAACGGGGTCCTAGCCGGAGCCATTGACCAGGCAGTAAAAAGCAAGAGGCGACAACGAAAGGGCTCCTACAGTACCGGTGTCGGTAAGTGCTCAATGTTTTTGCTTGTTCACCAACCTAACATTTTACTTCCCCTAACAAAACAGCAGAAAAACCTCCTCCTCCGCCACCCGAGTTCTCGGGTGATCAGCTAAGTCACCCGAGCACCGTCACAAATCACAACGCATCATCCAACCTTTATCAATCAAATAACAATAATCACAATCACAATGTTCCCCAACTTCATCAGCACTCATCAAACAGTGCCAAAGTGTCTCAGCAGCAGCAGCAGCAGTCATCACCAAACCCCACCACCACTCCCCAATCACTGAGTCTCTCACTGAGCGAGGACTCGGCGACTACCTTCGACTCGACCCATCCGGTCATCAGTCCCAAGTCTACTTTGGGTGGTTCCTTCCGCTCTGGTGGCAGCAGTCGACAGAGTGGTGGCAAAGGAAGATCATCCTGCCTGTCCACCCTCTGCTGGTACACCTTAGTCTTCTTCGTCCTGCTGATCGTCTTCGGCGTCGCCTTCGGTGCCGGCTTTGCAGTTGCCAAATGTAAGTGTGACTATCCTTTTAAGTTTTTAGCCTTTTTTGGTAACCGCTTTTTTCAGATTTGTTCAATCCTGACTGTGATTCTTCATCCTCCTCCTCTTCCTTCTCATCTTCATCCTCATCTCATAATCCACTTCTCCAGTCAAACAGTGCCCGCAACTACGCGAACCCACTTTTCAATTCTCAACCCAGTCAGAACAACAACTCATCACCATCATCAATGCTCACAGTTCCAGTTGCTGACAATCTCATGAAAATTACGAGCCAAAGTCTGGCGCCTAGCTTAAAGGATGGCGTCATTGAGACGACTCCGTTGCCACCTACAACGATGACGACAAGTACCATAAGTCCAGTCAACGCAGAAGGTAGATCAAATTCAGATACTGATTCGAGGGAAGAAGACTCCACACAGAACAATGGGCCACAACAACAACACAAATCAGCTGATTCAAGCGGAAAATCGGAAAATCCTTCTTCTAGCCTTTCACCAACTGAACCACCGCAGCAGACTACAACAACATCGTCCACAGCTTCAAATGTTTCAACGGTGACTGCAGAAAACAAAACCGCAAACAGAGAGACCACAGAGGCGCCCTACTCTTNCTGATTCGAGGGAAGAAGACTCCACACAGAACAATGGGCCACAACAACAACACAAATCAGCTGATTCAAGCGGAAAATCGGAAAATCCTTCTTCTAGCCTTTCACCAACTGAACCACCGCAGCAGACTACAACAACATCGTCCACAGCTTCAAATGTTTCAACGGTGACTGCAGAAAACAAAACCGCAAACAGAGAGACCACAGAGGCGCCCTACTCTTTTGACTTTGGAACGGACTTTAATTTGGAGCAAATCGATCCGCTCCTTTCGAATACTGATTCAATCATCGAAGAGTTATTCCGCTCAACTAGGCCAACAACCGGCAGCTCACCGAATGAGAGCACAGTCGCTACGACAATTGCTCCTCCGGTTAGCACCCAAATTCCTGCCAGTTCAAATTCGAAATTCCAAAGCACCAATTCCTCCTCATTCAGTGAAGCAAATCTTCCGTCGTCGTCGACACCGCCGCCTTCATCTTCTTCTTCTAAGCCACCAACAACCACGGATGCGGCCTTGGTGGAACCGGTTCCTCAATCCACTGAACTGCCACCACCACCACCAAAATCGATTGCGCCAATTAACGACAACTCGACGTCGCTAATCGATGTCCACCAATTGCCTTTTTCCGTGCAGCCGTCGGCGGAGCTGACGCCAGTGG